GTCTCAGTGGCCCATAGCCTTTATTTCTTTCTTCGTCAGGTCTCAGATTCTTCATAATAATAACTAACATGTACTGAGTGACTTCTATGTTCTAGTCTCTTTACAAACATGCACTATTTCCTCTATTCAGGCCGTCATCTGAAGAAAGCTTTTACAGATGAAGGATCTGAGCTCAGAGAAGCTAAGCAACTTACCCCACTTTCCATAGCTCGTGACTCTGTGCTTCTTCTAGTAAAACCACACTACCTCGGAGGCCTCATTCCACAGTCATCTTCTATATTCAAAAGGAATTCCTGACTTTTGCTTCTTGTCCCTTAATATTATGCCTGAGACCGTCTCCTTGTCTTGGTCAATTTTCTCTGGCATAGTGAATAGAGAGCTGGTGTAACAGTGTTGTAACCTGACAGGTGCAAAGAGAGCAAGTGCCTGGGTTGCCACAACAGAAGGTAAAAACCATCCTTAGCTCTGCCCACAGGCTCACTAAGTCATAGGCTCCTCTTGGTGTCACTGAGGCCACCTCAAGTTCCTGGAGCATGTAAAATGTTCCTACTATTTAAACAATAAAACAAAATCATTCATACATAGTGTTGACATTTAGTAGTCAATTCAATAAATGTTCTTGACTAAGTGGTAATGTAGTAATTTTTATTTGTTATATGGGTCATGGGGTAGAGAGGAAGAGAAATACAGAACATTTTTCTGTGGTTGATTCTATAAGTTTGAATGGGGAATCAGAGCAGGAGAAAGTCTATTTCCAGGACCTTGAACAGAAATTTCTGGCCAGGCCTGCCACAGACTTGAAGTCCAGCAACCTCATTGTAGAGACGGGTGAGTTTTGAGGCCCAGCATGAAGAAAGGAATTGCCTGAGGTCATCCAGCTCTAGTGGGACAATGAGAATCAGTTCCTACTTTTGCAAAAAGTACTCAAAGCTATTAAAGCTGTCTCTCTGCTCTGCCACCAAATGCCTGCAAGTATGATTCCTACTACTTAATTTTTTCCAAGATGAGATATGGCAAGAATGAAAAGGAGAGGAGCTCTCAGCAAAGGCTTCCACAATGGAATAGCAATGCAGTATGTCTGAACAGTCTAGAATTAAACGAATGGCCCTTAACACATTTGTATGCCTGGATTTGCTGTGTGTCTGGATTGTCAGGGGATGAGAATGCAACTGAAGCCTCGTTGGTGTTCAACCCTGTTATAGCCACCTCTTCTAGTCCCAGCCCCTGCCTCGAGGTAATGGGAGAACTAGGCGATATTCCCCACTCCTCTCAGAAGGCCCTTCTCAAACTAACCTCAGGTCAAAAGTAGTACACCTATATAAAGGCTGTGAGCAATATGTTCTCCTGAGTCCTAATCCCAAGACTGCCAGTGTCAACGCCTAGCAGACTGCATCTCTCTGAAGTAGCTAAGGTAGGCTTTACCAAAAGGGAGGTCATTCATTCTTCAACAAACATTTGCTGACCAATGACTCTGTGCATGGCACGAGGCTAGGACATGACGATACAGAGTTGAACTGTGGTTGCCCTCCATGGGCTCCCAGTCAAGGAGGTGAAGCAGACGTAAACAGACAATTTCACAGGTCAGCTCAACATAAGCACCTATAATACATCAGGCACAATGCCACGCCCTGGGGATGCGAAGGTGGATAAGACCAAGTCCAGCCCTCACCATCTCAGAGACAAACAGGAAAACAATGACAATATGGTTTTTAACTGCTGTGAAAGAGGTCTGTCCAGGGAGCTGGGGAAACTCTGAAGAGAAGGATCTAAAGGGAGTGTTCATCACCAAACCATTGTGGCACTGAGAAAATCCTGGGAAATCAATTTGATTGAGGCAGTAAAGGCGCCTGTTTAACACTCTGGCTTCATCTGGTAAATCTGATTCGCTGCAAGCCATATAACCTCAAATCAGTTTCTGAGAGCTTGGGGCAAGGACAAGGAAATTCAGGGGAAAGTTTTGCCCATTGCCTGCCCTTCTGTAGCCTCCTTCCAAGTTGAGCTCCAGTTTTGATTTCTCCTTATCTAAAAGGCCTTTCCCAGGAAGAATCCTAAACTAATTCATTCTGATATGTGAAGGACTGGTAATAGCAGTGTCTCCCAGACTTGCCTGAGGATAAGAATCACCTGGTGTCATTCCTAATTGTGCTGTTAACCTTTCTCCTGGTGTGATATTGTGATTTATAATAAGAAATATATACTTATCTTCCTTCCAATTTCTGGCACAGAGCTCCTAAATCCCTTGGAATTTCCTAAGTGATGAGAGCAATAAAGATGTCTTGATAGTCATAATAAACCTCTTTCAACCACACCTGAGTTAATGTTAATAAGGTGGCTTTTGGAAAGCACCTAAGGATTGGGGCTGGTTGCCAGGGGGACCAACCAAGTGATTAGAGGGTTGGAACTTTCCATCCCTCTGACCTCCAGGGAAGGGAGAGGAGAATGGAGGTGGAATCAATTACCAATAACCACTGATTTAATCAATCATGCCTGTGTAGTGAAGCCCCCATAAAACCCCAAAAGGAGCGGATTCAGAGAGCTTCTGGGTTGGTGGACCAGAACACTTTCATGCGCCACCATGCTGGGCCTCAAACTCAACAGAGTGCTTGAGGTTGAGAGACTCCTTTGAGACCTCACCTTATGTATCTCTTCTTCTGGCTGTTGATTCATATCGTTTAATATCCTTTGTAATAAACCAGTAATCTAGTGAGTAAAGTGGTTTCCTGAGTCCTGGGAGCTGCTCCAGCAAATTAATCAAACCCAAGGAAGGGGTTGTAGGAACCTCTGATTTACAGCCAGCCATTCAGAAGTACGGGGAACAACCTAGACTTGTGATTGGCCTCTGAAGTGGAGGGCAGTCTTATGGGACTGAGCCCTTAACCTGTGTGATCTGATCCTATCTCCAGATAGATAGTGTCAGAATTGAGTTGAATTGTAGGACACCCAGCTGGTGTCAGAGAATTGATTGGTGGTGTGGGAAAATCCCACTCTTTAGAATCGTTGGAGAAGAATCTTACCTGGAAATTTTTATTCAATAGGTCTGGGGTAGGTTCTGGGAATCTGTTTTAACCAGGGCTCCAGGTGACTCTTATCTTCAGGCAGATTTGGGAAACCATGATATAAAGCATTATCCCCAGGAATTCACAATAAAGGCTTTGATTGCTAATGTGGAATCTACAACACGCATACCTACGTAGCAGAATGTCAAGATTTAAAAAAACGTAATAATAAAACATACCGTATGTTTGAAGGGCATCCCAAAGTTACATTATCACGTCCTATAAATATTAACACATTAGAACCTCCTAACAGCCTGGTAAACTGGGTAGGCAAATTTGTCCCTATTTTAGGGATGAGGAAATCCCGCCAGAGTGTAGCTTGTAATATAATTGAAGAGAAATCAAATACACATTAAATGTTGCAAGAACAACACAAAACAAGATGCCTACTTTTGCAGAAGAATACCTTATAACACAGTATACAAGGTCTGAAGGGATATGGAGCCCAACGGTGGCCTGAAGGGCAGATAGGAGTGCAAAGCCTCCCAAAGGTAGGACATATGTCTGCATTTGGAAACTCAGTTATTTTCTATGGCACCATGAAATTTTTCTACACTGGATCCTCATGTGAACTGTACCAGTTCCATTTTCCACAACCACATATTATACCACAAACCAGTTTGACCTGCAAGGGAAGTACAAGCTTTGGTCCTTTTGCAATGCTCTGCTGCCTAACCAGTTTGTTTGCAAAATGACACGTGGCCGGGTCAAGATGGAGATGCCCCCGTGAAGGGAGGGTGGTTGTTGTATGAGGTATTGCTTGGATCCTTTCTGGGCCTACTTAGGGCTTCAGATGCAGTGGAGTTGAAGGATTTCATTTCATCCAATTGTGCTGATGTCTTTTCTGGATCAGGCATTGTGCTGGCAGCTGTGGGTGAGCTTTCAGGAATTCATAGTCTAGGTAGGAGAGAAAGGAAGACATATACATACATGCCTGGTGATTACCTAAGTCAGGAAGAATTGCAAAGCAGAATAAGCAACGTTCTGTGGTGATGAAGCAGGAGTTAATAGTTCTCATGGAAGATCCTAGAAGGTTCATTGGAGGAAGTGGCATTTCCACTGGGCCTTGAAAGATAGGTAGGTCTTCCAAAGACAGAGAAGGGCATTATAAACTGAGGGCATCGGTGAACAAAGGCATCAGAATCCTGAGCCCAAGGGAGATCTACTGTCATCCCATTGCTCTGGTGGGGAAACTGAGAATTCTTTGGGCCTTATACTTGGGGGGAGGGGACGTGTGGTAGCTGCACCTTACTCTTCCTTTCTGAACATCATTAAAATTTAATTTTGAAAATTCTATCTTTAATGATACTCCAAGTGGCCTATGAACGTTAGTGACAGCACAGTCTCCAGCAGTTTATTGGGTTAGAGTATTGGGTGCATCAGAAAAGGATTACAGAGGACCCTATATACCATGCTAAGGAGTTGTAGGTACTGCTGAGACACTGAAAGGTTTTAAGCAGAAGAGCATACAGTCACCTGTACATCTTAGAGAAATCCCTCTGGTTCTGTCTGGGAGACGGTGTAGATAAAGGCAAGAGTGGAAGGAGAGAGTTCAACCAGGAGGCTACTGTAGGCGTCCAAGCAAAAAGTCAGGGGCCTAAAAAGAGTCTGTAGCGCTAAGGATAGAGCAGAGACAGGAGGTCAAGACCTGTCTTAGAGGTAGAATCAACTAGCCTTAGGTACTCACTGGATGTGTGTGTGTGTAGGAGAGTAAGACGGGGGAGGAGTCAAGGGTGACTGCCTAACAAGTGCAAAGAGAGATGACCCTCAGTAAGAGTCTCCAGTCTCCTCAACGGGTCGCAGGAGGGAAGGGGAGGGGGCAGGCTAGAGACCGAGAAGGAAGAAGTTTGGAGCACGGAGAAGTGAGAAACCCGAGAGGCCAGGTGGCATAAGGAAGCCCCGCCCCCCGGCTCCGGACCCGCCCCCGACTCCACCTCTTCTCTCTCTTCCCACCCCCCCCAACCGCGGCTCATCCTCGAGGGCGGAGAGAGGTGGCATTTGAGTCCTCCGGTATCCCAGCAGGCAGTGCAGTCTAGAGACGCTGACAAAGGACCGGAGGAGCAGTCGCAGCTGCTTTCCGAGGAGCCGGTGTTGCCGAGGTGAGAGTCCCCCACCGCCCGGTCACCCACTTCCTCCGACTTCGGGAAAACGTGGAAGTTACGTTGCCGGGAGACCCCGCGGAAAGAATGAGCCATACTCAAACCCAGAGCTTGGCTCTGTGACTGACAGCAGGGCTCCGCGGCGCCGGGATGCGAGTGGGAGGTGGGGAGGAGGCAGATGGAATCCTTTCTGCCCCATCTCTGACTGTCAGTTGCCCCACAGCCCGGGGATCCTGGCCCCAGGGTCTGGCTGGCCCGTGTGTCTCTCTCGTGCCCCGGCGGAGGCAGCAGGCTCGGGATCCTCCCGGTGCCTGCCCGGCAGAGTTCGGTTGCCCCGGGGATGCGACTCCAGGGACAACTCTTCGGCGGATGTTGTGAGGAGGGCTTGGGAAGGGAGATTGACTCCCTGGTGGGGGTGACACCGTCCTCGCCCTTCCTCCTCCTTCCTCCTGTTCAACTGGTCCCCCCAGCGAGCAACTGGAAGGAAATCGGCGGGGCTGGAGCGAGGTGTCCCGGGATGGCTGGAGGGAGGTGAAAGTGGGGTGGAGAGGCAGGGAGGGAGAGCGAACGCCTTCTTGGAATAATGGGGGTGGGGGATCGGGGGTACGTGGCCTGTATCCTTCCCCCTTCCTGGACCTCCGCACGGATCCTGATGGTTGCACCAGCTGCTCGGCTGTAAACAGGCTCACATGACCGGTTTCACATGGAGCCGCCGGTGTGGGGACGCGGGCTGGAAAGGCTGGGCCCCATCAGGTGGAGCTGAAGTCCTAGGACGGACCGTTTGATACTCCCTCCCCAGCCCTCCAGCCCTTAATCAATGTTATGCGGTTTCCACTCTGGGGAAAGTAACTGACATCTGTCGTCTCCGGGGTGAAGTAGCATTTCTACCCCAGTAGAATCGAAGAGACCTCACATGGGGGAGCGAGAGGGCAAATATTAAATGAAAACGGTCCCACATTTTTGACCTTTGAGGGAAATAAGAGATGGACACAAACCTGAAAAATTGGGTCTTTTAGGATCTTGCCTAAGAAGCGGTCCCATTATTTCGAAATGCATTCGAAAGAATTCCAGACAGAAAAGGAAAAGTCTACTTTTTCAGGCAGGGCACACATGGGATTTAATATATTCTTGATGATGAAAATCGAGTCCACATTTCCTCTAAGAGCTGGGAAATCTCTCTGCCTATAAAATACTCTATACAGGATATTGAATAGGGAGTGGACACCAACTTTTAGATCACACATATATTTGGTATAAAGCAGTGGGAAGTTTGGAAAACAGGAAATGGGACCAAGTGTGCCTTTCACGTTGTCCAGGTCTACATGTCCAAACAGGATGCAAGATTAAACTACGTTCTGAAACATTTCTCGAATTCTCAAAATAAGAAGTTTACTCAAATACCAGGATATTTGAGAATTTGGAATTTGAAAAATTCACAAAATTCTGAGGGGTAGTTGTGATGGATTCCCTTTATGTGTAATACATAATTAAATGTAATGGACAATATTCAGTATAAAGTCACCCCTTTATAGGTAAAGATAGAAAATAGAACAAATAGCTTATAAAGTAATGCTTGTTTCTCCCCTGAAATTGTTCATGCACATTTTCTTCCCAAATATTTTATTTTTAAATTTTTTTCCTCATGGAGCTTTTACATTTAACTCTCATTTCTGAAACATCAAACAAGAAACTACAGGAAAAGTTTCCCCATCCTATACTAGCCCAATAAAGTGATTTGCTATTCTTCTCTTTCTGTTTTTCAAACAGTTTAAGATGAGAAATAGAGGAATTTTAAATCTTGTTTAACTTAGCGGATGATCAGTGTTGCTCTGAATCTTGTTTTGCCACCTTATAGCATTCTGAAGAATCTTGCCCTACGTAAAATATATTAAGTGATTTACTCTTTGAGGCCCTCCATTTCCTCATCTGTAATATGAAAGTTTTGTTTTAATTTCCAGGGTCCCTTATAGCTCTCAAATACTATAAAAGAGTGCAGTGTTTTATTAGGAACTATCCTTGGACAAAATAAGCTGGTCAAATAAGCCAAGATGCTAGTATCCACTAAAAGAACGTGCAGTAAGTAACAAGAGGTATCCAGAGTCCTACCAGGAATAGGAATTGCACTCTGCGAAATTCTCATTAGGTAAATTAGTCATGTAGGTTGACCTGTACCTCTCCTCCTTTGTGTCTTCGCCATCAGGAAATTGAAGATTGCCTCAGCTAACTCCTGCCTCCAAAATTAGAAATAACAGTTCCACCTGACTTTCTTGACCTTCGGGGCACAGTACAAAGTGATTCTTTCACTCATTCCAGCTTCTTCCTGAATTGAGTGGGCTATGTGATCCGTGATGAAGTTAAAATAGAAAAAGGCTCTAGCGAGGTCTCCCTTTGGCAGTACCTTGGTTAGGCCACCAGAACGAATGTCTTTTTTCCCCCAGCTTTTCAGGGTTTGAAATTTAATTTGGCCGGCACATCTAGAAATGATCAGTCGGTCTCAGAGATTGAGTCACACTAACCAAACTCACAAAAGATTTCTGTGTTAATAGGAAGCCAGTTTACTAACTTCCAGTAACAAGTAGAACTGCCAGGCAAGCCATAAGACTCATGTACAAGCCAGGGCACCAAACTGCTCTCAACCTCCCGTTTTTCTAGGGTCTATGTGGACTGCATCTTTCTTAAAACACCTAGTGGTGGATACACTCAACAAAATTACAGCTTTCTTTTATATAAAGACCATTTCAGTCACACCTTTGTATAGATATATTCTAGTCACCTGATGGAACGTGGGCCACCTGTACAACATCTCTAAAATCTGTTTCCTCTCCATTCTTACTGCCTTTGTCTAGGTCCTCATCTCTCCATGCCACATTCATTCAACAGTTATTTTTTACTATAACTACACTGGAGTCAGGCGCTGTGCTTGACTGGTCAATGGCAACCTGTTTCCTATTTCAGACCTTATCCAGTCAGTTCTCTGCTTAAAGGTTTCCCATTGCCTGCAGCAGTGGTTCTCAAAGTGCGGAGTGCATCTGAATCATCTGGAGGGTTTCTTTAAAATACATGGCTGGGCCCCAACCCCAATATTTCTGATTCGGAAGGTCTAGGTGGGACCCAAGAATTCATGTTTTTAACAAGTTCCCAGGTAAAGTTGCTGTTGCTGGTCCAGCACCACATTTTGAGAAACACTGGCGTCCAGAGTCAAGTCTAAACCCCTAAACTTGGCTTATAAGATCTTTTACCATTTGCCCCCAGCTTACCTTTCCAGCCTTATCTCTCGCCACTCCCCCATACGTGCTATTTCTTAAACATATGCAATACCAAACCTCATTTTAAGAATCCCTTTCATGCCTCTACACATGTTCTTCCTGGAATTCACCCCCTCTCCACTCCTTATTCAAGGCAGACCGTGAACTCTTATTTAAGGGAGACCGTCACTTTCTTTATGCTCCCAGAGTATTTTGTATCTACCGGCATTTTAACACTTGTCACATCATATCCTAATTACTATGTATATCTGTTTTTCCTGCTAGACTGAGTTTTTGGAGGGCTGTGACAATGTTTTCATCTTTTCTCCATGTTCCTTAGCGCAGAGCCTGGTAGATAATAATAAGTGCTCAGTAAATGTTTGTTGAATGAATTTGTGATTCTAGAACTTCCAAGAGTGCTACTTGTAGCAACATATATATTTCATATAATAAAGTGATATGAATTTTGCTTTGAGAATGGTACATACATCTTGAAGTAACTGAAGACATATCGGGATATTATAAAACAAGGGTTGGAAAGAACTCATTAAGAAAAAATGTTTTAGAAACATTACTGAAGGGCATCCTTATGTTTTTAAATCTTAGAACATACACTACTCAGCTTTTACATCTTGATATGTAGTAGCCTATCACTACCTATCATTTATAGCAGTCAATCCCATTAGTAAGATATCAAATTATACAAAAAATCTAGAAAATGTATAAAGACAAAATTGCCTAATATTGAGCAATCAACTATTTAGAATATAAGGTGAACATTATGACATCGCTTGTGAAAGAGTTGACTTAAGGAACATGCCATCAAAAGTCCTAGTGGACAATACTGGAAATTCAATGAGGGAGAGGGCTCAGCTGATGAAATGGTAAGGAAGGAGGTTTTAATACTACTGAGCCTAAAGCAAAAGAACTTATTGCTCTTAACTGTTTAGTATTTCGTTGGCCATGGGCAAGGACTGCACCAAGTATGGAGGAAGGAGATAGCGCCTGAGCCCAGATAAAAGGGAACTGGCCTGGGGGTGGAGCTGGGAACCCCAATCAGAATAAGCACAAGAGCCAGGGACAGGTAGTAAGTAGCTGGTGTACTGTAGCCAAGAAGGTGGGTCACCTTTCTGGGGAAATCTGTACTTTGAATCATCCTTAACCATTTCCAAACTTTGAACCACTTCAGTACAAGAATCCCTAAGGACCACTAATTTCATTTGATTTTTCTTGCTGCCTCCCTTGCCCCCAAAAGGGGGCAGAGAGCAAATGACAATATGCTTTTAAAGTGGTTTCTGTGTTCTTTAACAGTCTCCACGTTTTGAATCGATGGTGGTAAAAGATAGTGAAACTCCCCTCTTTATCTTAGAGTCGAGTCTCTTCCTTCCTCTGCTCAATCCAAAGAGACAAAATAATCACACTGGTCTCCTGGACTGATGGTGGAAAGTGTGTGTGAGGATTTCAGTGTGTTTAGACTTTGTGTGTGTGTGAGAGAGAGAGAGAGCAAGAAAGTAAATTTGCAAACTGGTCACAAGGTGGTGTACACACATAAGGTTTTCCTTCAAATTTCCTTCATGATTGCATCTCCGTGCCTTTGGTACGGAGGAAAAGGACAGGGCAGTTTCCTGGACCACCAGCTCCCAGCTGCACTATCTCCCCATGAGGTCAAGATATGTTGGAGCCTCGGATTTTTAGATGCGGCTGGCCCCGTTGGGCACTGTGGAGCCCAGTGAGATGATGAGAGGGAGAGTGGGG